GTGGACAGTAACCAAGTAAATTCAAAGTAATTTGTTGCTGTACTTAAGTAGTTTTTTCATGTATCTGTACTTTACTGAAGTATTTCCATTTTTTGTGACTTTTTACTTTCACTCCACTACATTTCACAGTCAAATATCTTACTTTTTACTCCACCACATTATGTGAAATCTGTCGTTCCTTTTGGTTTATGTGTGTATAAAAACATAACATGCCAAAACAAAAGAAGGGTGAAGCAAGAGCACCAATCAGGGCACAGCGCACACTTTGTTTTGAGCTTGTTTTGACCTGTTGGACATACCGACCCAGTGCAGCACACGGTTCAACGTCAGTACAGCAGCGTAAAATTTTGGGAGAGTCTATTCAAACAAACCGAAACTTTGCTTGTTTGTAAAAAGTGATTTCAGAGCCACTCAGTTCTACCTGATGGAAACTGTTTACCTTCAGTGTTTTGTGCTTATGATAATTTTAATAGACATCAGCGTCACTAATTAATGACATTCTATTAAAGACTGGTTTACCAAGAGTGACACTGGAGTATTCTCACCTAAAATGAGTTGATAAAGCAAGAGTTTTGTTACAGAAATGCTGATAGAACATTAGAGCCAGAATTAACCTTTTAGTACTTTTACTTTTGATACTTAAGTACATTTGACGGCAAATACTTTTGTATCTTTACTCAAGTGGAGGTCTAAAGGGAGGAACTTCTACTTTTACTGGAGTAATATTTTACCTTGGGTATCTCTAACTCAAGTACATGGTTTGTGTACTTCATCCACCACTGGAAATCTCAGGTTAACTACATACAGTAACTACAGGCACTGCAATGCTAACGGATTTGGCTATTCTTAGGTTATGGAGTGTGTAATAAAGGGGTTAATCAGACTTTAGTCAAATCGCTTTTTAATTCAGGTCTGTACAAAATCCAACATTTCCTTTTTTCAGTGTATTTAGTCGGCATTTCATAACTAGACTTTTTTTTTTGCGTGTGTGTTTATCCTCCTATGATTCAGGTTTTTGCAGGAGAATTTACTCAGCTTTTTCAGTAGAACTGTCCTTTAAACTCATGACCTTCTGCTTCTAAGAGCAGGAGTAGCTGCCGGTAATGTCGACTGCTGCACAGCTGGCCACATCAGTCACAGTTTAGTTTTGTCTTCCTGCAGCACCTTCATTTCTTTTGCTCCTCTATAGAAGCGTAACTGAGTCCATCATGCTGAGCTGTTCAACCTGATTCTTTACACTGTTAATGTGCCAAAATCCACAAACTGTTATGAGTCACACATAATGCCTCAAAAATCACAGGCCTCCCAGACACAACCTGCCAAATCTGCACAGTGGGGCTGTTTTAAGAAGGACCACCACAACAGGCCCTTTTCTCAAGAAAGGGAAGTGCGTAAACGCTGGGTTAGACAGGTTCCTCTATTGCTGTATGGACAGTTACTAACCTCAGAAATACAGGTGTTAGTTTCACAGAAAGGTGAGTCACTTAATCTCTGTCACAGAAACCACTGAAACGGAGATGAGGCTGTTTATGCTTCAGACTGGAACACCTGAGCGAGCTGTACCTGCTCTGCTCAGCGTCACTGTTATTGTCGCAGTGGAAGCAGCGCCACTCTGCAACAAGAACGTCCAGCAGAAAATATGTGGAAATGTGAAAAGGGTCTGTAGCACAAGAGCCTGATCACTCACTGCACTCTGTCTTCACTGTACTCCCATCAGGCGGGAGATACGGAGATGCACTGGAGTGTAAAAACGCCGCTTTGCTAAGCTTCGTACCGTCAGCCACATCAGCCCTTAACAAGCCAAACAGATGTTCTAAAGCTGCTCTCAGAGGACGTAGCTGATGTGAAGGCCTCGTGTCTGGATGCGCTTTATGGATGGTCTTCTTGTCTGTACTTTATGTTTGTTTTGATAGTGTTTACTCATCTGTGTAACAGCACAGGCTGTGAAAGCTAACTTCCTCTTTGGAGAACAATAAGGAGTCTAACTCTACGGTACACCACAGAGGTGGAGACGATTTCCTAAGTTCCTTCCTGTGCCAGACACACTTCCTAATTTACATGCGCAATAGATACGGGCGTGATTTGTGCCAGCTGCAAGATCTCTTTTGGCCAGTACTTGTCCAAAAGTATGTGGACACCCTTTGCAATTATTGAGTTCAGGTGTTTTAGCCACACCCATTGCTAACAGGTGTATAGAACAGAGCACCTCCATAAACAAACGCTGGGTCGTACTCAGAGCTCAGTGACTTTAAATGTGACCCTGTCATAGGATTCTGCCTCCACCACAAGCCAGGTGTGAAATACTATCTACCTACCGGAATGCAGAGCCAGCAGTACAGTTTGGTGGAGGAGGGATGATGGGCTGGGCTGTTTGGGCCCCTCAGTTCCAGTGAAGGGTGATGTTGATGCTGCAGCACAAAGACAATTTATGCATCCAAAGAGCTCTATAAAGATGATTTGACGAGTCTGGTGTGGAGGAACTCCAGTGGCCTGCACAGAGCCCTGACCTCAACCCCACTGAACACTGAGCCAGACGCTCTCGTCCAACATCAGTGTCTGACCTCACAAATGCTCTTTAGACTGAATGGACACAGATTCCCACAGACTCTCCAACATCCTGTAGAAGCTTCCCAGAGGAGTGGAAGCTGTTATAGCAACTCCATATTAACGCCTATGGATTTAGAATGGGTCGTCCAACAAGCTCATAGAGGTGTGACAGTCAGGTGTCCATATACTTTTGGCCGTGTAGTGTATGGAATCATCTCAGTTGTAAGGTCACAGTGAAAGGTCAGTTGTGTTTGGTCTGTCCTACTGTTCATTTCCCCTCTTCACTCTTCACCCTTCAACAGTCTAAGAGTGTACGCTTTTATAAAGAGGTTCCGAGTAATAAACCTCGTTCTCCAACCGTTCTTTGGAAGAAATTTCTCCTTAAACCCACTGACGCAGTTCTGACGAAGACCCTGACTCTCCAGTGTTCTCTTATCTGGGGTTTGTTCTCAGGTAAGAACAGAATCTACACACACTCAAGAGCACAGAGGTGAGAACAGTTCTGCGCTTTAAGAACACGTCATGAATCTGACGTAGACCTTTTTCTTAGAACCTTTCTCAAGAACACATCTAAGAACAAGCTTAGGAAGATGTTCGAGAAAGGACCCGATGTTTCTATGCTGAACCATAAACACACTCAAGGAACTGTATATAGAACCTTTTTGAAAACGGTTCTATATAGCACCAAAAAGGGTACGACGTCAAGCTTATAACTATAGCAGATCCCTTTTTGCTGCTGTATAGAACCAAATACAGCACACTCCATTTCTCCATGCATAGAACCATTTAAGCATGCAAATGGTTCCCATGGTTCTGTATAGAACCATTGCCTTTACTAAAGAATCATTGTTCTGTAGGTTCTATATACACTCTTTAAAGAGATGTCCCAACAGTTTGCATGCTTACATGTTTCTGTGCTTGGTGAAATGGTTCTTGTGAGCTTGTAACAATAAAAGAACCCTGTTCTATAGAGCTCTATAGAACCATTTTCAAATGATCCTATATGGTTTTACATAAAAGGCTGGTATACAAGCTTGACATGGTAACAACAGCAGAACCCTGTATAATATAAAACATATACACACATTCTCCATCAGTCGGAAGAACCATTTAAGCTTGCAAACAGTTCATTGTTAAAGGTTCTATACAGAACCACTGTGTTTATTGAAGAACCCTTGAAGAACCGTCTGAAGAGTGTACCTCGCAGGTGATGTACAGTAGCTGCCGTATTACAGTAGCATGTACATTACAGTCGCCTCTCCTCGAGGCAGATCCTGATCTGAGCCTCCACAGGAGCAAACCCAGCGAGCAGGTCAGCCTTTGGTCAGACTGTAGTTACTCTCACGGTAAATTCCTCTGTACTGTGGCGCTGAGTGACCGACCTTGGGCTGAATTCTTACCTCACAGCCTCAAAATAACACACCGGCATGGGCAGCTTCTATTTTAGGCCTCAGATGAGCGAAGAAACGAGGGGAAGTGTAAAAGTCACGCTCACTGAGGACGTGCAGAGAGGCCAGCGTTCACTTACACAGGTGTGGCTTTTACAGCAGGCCTTGTCACAAAGCAGCTTTACAGAAAATCCAGGGCTGAGGGCCCATGAAGAACGACCTCACAGCAGGAGGAACCAAGACTGTGGTTATGGTAGGTTAGGTGTGTTGCAGGTGTGGTTATGTTAGGTTAGGTGTGTTACAGGTGTGGTTATGTTAGGTTAGGTGTGTTACAGGTGTGGTTATGTCAGGTTAGGTGTGTTACAGGTGTGGTTATGTTGGGTTACATGTGTTGCAGGTGTGGTTATGGTAGGTTAGGTGTGTTACAGGTGTGGTTATGTTGGGTTACATGTGTTGCAGGTGTGGTTATGGTAGGTTAGGTATGTTACAGGTGTGGTTATGTCAGGTTAGGTGTGTTACAGGTGTGGTTATGTCAGGTTAGGTGTGTTACAGGTGTGGTTATGTCAGGTTAGGAGTGTTACAGGTGTGGTTATGTCAGGTTAGGAGGACCTAAAGGAGCTCCTAAAGTCTGCAGCAAGAGAGATGTGATCAGACTTCGTGTGTAAACTTGTCAGAATGTCTGTGTATTCCTCTATCAGACATTATAACACTCAGGTTCAGCCACCTAATAATCTACTGCGTATAGTTTAATAAGACCTGCAGTGAGCGGTCACTGTCCAAAATGTGATTTTAGGTCAAGCTTATCTCACAAGATACAGTAAGTATGTGTGCTGGGTCAGAGTCCATGTCCATGTAAAGCTGTCTGATTATGTTTTCCCACTTACTATCCTATCAACCCTTTAAAATCCAGGCTTATTATTCAGTAACTACAGGGACTTCAGTGCAAACTGTCTGAGCTGTTCTTAGCTTATAGAAGTGTGTACTAAAGGTTTGGGCCTGCTGGTGGGCTCTGGCCATTTAAAGGGTCAGACACTACACAGCAAGAAGAGACTCATGATTAGTTACCCGTTATTAGTTAATAACCACATCAGCGCTGTCAGATCGTTCAGTTCTGTGTGTTGGAATAAAGACTGCAGTTCCTCAAAAATGCCAGCTTTCCAGGAGGACGTGAAGGTCCTGTAGGCAGGAACAAGAAAAGAGGTCGAGATATAAATAATAGACAGAGGACATAAATAGCCCACAGTGGAGGAGAGACGCTGGGCCCAGCATGCCCCCCTTTCCCAGATCTGAGTGCTGATGGATGCGAGGGGGCAGTATAGAAGCTCCACTCGGGCTGCTTAATTCAATCAATCAACCTTTATTTTCACTGGGAAACACACTGAGGGTGACCCCCGCTCACACTGCAGAACAGCATTTACAGCGTTACAGAGATTGGGAAAGAAATTAAAATCAACTACATAAACGCAGGAACAGAAAAATCAGACGAGATCAATCCAAAAGAATTAGGACAATTCAGATTTGATTAAATAATAAACCAATTAATAAGATTTCAACAAAAAAAAGGATAAATAAATACACACACTCACACACACACTCACACACACACACACACACACACACACACACTCACACACACACTCACACACACACTCACACACACACACACTCACTCACACACACACTCACACACTCACACACTCACACACACACACACACACTCACACACACACACTCACACACTCACACACTCACACACTCACACACACACTCACACACTCACACACACACACTCACACACACACACACACACACACACACACACACACACACCACACACACAGACACACACAGACACACACACACCACACACACACCACACACCACACACCACACACACACCACACACAGACACACACACACACACGCACACACACACACACACACACACACACACACACACACACACACACACGCTCCTGACGTCTGTCCGTCTCCGTCTGGTTCAGAACGCTCCTCATCCATGATCACCTTCAAACACATCGTTCACACTGTTAAAGGTCAAACTCAGTCCATTCAGGGCTACTTTACTGGTGCAGCAGAACTGTAAGTGTGATGTACGATTTTTGTGATATGAATAAATCATTTCAATGTTTAAGTTACGTCGAGATCATCGACTTCCTTACATAACAACAGTGAGTAAACAAGCAGATTGCATCATTTGATCAAACGGGGTATTGTTTTTAATCACAGGTGCCCATAAAGGGTTTCAGGAGATTAATCATTACATAGTCATAACACGTCATTATTACAAGACACTGAGTCCTGATTATGGCATAGGGAGTCAGTCTTTTGACACGTCATGGTGTGACTTACTGGACCAATACATACACACTGAACTAGACAGAGAGAGAGAGACAGTTACAGTACAGAGAGAGAGAGAGAGATACAGTACAGAGAGAGAGAGAGGGACAGTTACAGTACAGAGAAAAAGAGAGAGAGAGAGTGAGAGAGAGACAGTTACAGTACAGAGAGAAAGAGAGAGAGAGAGAGAGATTGCTGATTGCTGTGTGAGGAAGTCTGTGGTCTGGCGAGAGGAAGTGCGCTCTATCACTGCACACCGGCTGTGTGAGTATGTGTGTGTGTGTGTGAGAGAGAGTGTGTGTGTGTGTGTGTGTGTGTGTGTGTGAGAGAGAGTGTGTGTGTGAGTGTGTGAGTGTGAAGGAGGCCTGCAGTGGAAATCAGGCCAGTACGTGAGCGGATGAGCTGCAGCTCCGTCCTATCAGCTTCCACACCTCACCAGCCTGTTGCCATGGAGACAGCGAGTGGGATGAGCGGAGGGGCCATGTGTAGAAAACAAGGCCAGACAAAGAGATGAGAAGCGAGGCCCCACAGTGGGCGGCGGACGAGTGATAAGGCAGAGAACGATAACAGGGCAGGGCGAAGTCTGAGAGCTGAGATCACCACGCAGCTCTGTTTATTACACTCTTATAGCACACAGTCCGTACTACTCCCTCACTCGGAGCCTCGGCGTGGGCCGGTCTCTCACAGCGCCCCACCACTTCCTCCTGGGTGTTTTTAGCTTTCATTTACTTTTTTAATGGAAAGCAAAACATAGTACACAACACACCCTGCTACAAAATCAGCTCACCAGCAATACCAGCATGTGTGGTGTTCTTGATGCTGGTCTGCTGGTGCTGTACTGTAATCTGGAACACATAAACGCTTGTTCAGTGTTTTCTGACTGAGCTCCGCTTTCACGAGGCGCTGGATTGGTCAAAAAATCTCACACTCCGTTGCACAGACCATCTTAGAACAGCATAGACCAGCATAGACAAGTTTAGACAGGTTTAGACCAGCGCAGACCATCTTACACTAGCTTTGTCCAGCACAGACCATCTTAGACCAGTATAGACCAGCTTAGACCAACTTAGACCAGTTTACACTCGTATAGTCCAGCATAGACCATCTTAGACCAGTTTACACTAGCTTAGACCATCTTAGACCAGTTTACACTAGCTTAGACCAGCTTAGACCAGTTTACACTCGTATAGTCCAGCATAGACCATCTTAGACCAGTTTACACTAGCTTAGACAGGCATAGACCAATTTAGACCAGGTTGGACCAGTTTAGCCCAGCATAGACCTGCAGAGTAATTAGATGTGGGCGGGGTCTGTCCAGATCTCCTTCCATGTGGAATCTAATGGGGAACAGTGCACTGATACTGTACTGATACAATCATCACAGCACTAACAACACAAGTGCAATACCATTAAATAAACAATGACAAGATAAATGCATAAATAAATAGATAGATAAACAAACAAACAAACAAATAAATAAATAAATGTCGCTATTTTATTTTTTATTTTATTTTATCTAATGGAAAATAAATAAATAAACAAGAAAATAAATAAATATATACATGTCTTGATTTTATTTTTTATTTATTTTATCTAAAAGAAAACATAAATAAATAAACAAGAAAAAATAAATAAATAAATAAATGTCTCGATTTTATTTTTATTTATTTTATCTAATGGAAAAATGAATTAATAAATAAGTAAATAAATAAAAAAATGAATGTCTCGGTTTTATTTTTATTTATTTTATCTAATGGAAAATAAATAAATAAATAAATGTCTCGATTTTATTTTTATTTATTTTATCTAATGGAAAATAAATAAATAAATAAATGTCTCGATTTTATTTTTATTTATTTTATCTAATGGAAAAATGAATTAATAAATAAGTAAATAAATAAATAAATAAAGTCTCGATTTTATTTTTATTTATTTTATCTAATGGAAAAATGAATGAATAAATAAATAAATAAATAAATAAATAAATAAATGTCTCGATTTTATTTTTATTTATTTTATCTAATGGAAAATTAATAAATAAATAAATAAATAAATGTCTCGATTTTATTTTTATTTATTTTATCTAATGGAAAATAAATAAGTAAATAAATAAATAAATAAATAAATGTCTCGATTTTATTTTTATTTATTTTATCTAATGGTAAAATGAATAAATAAATAAATAAATAAGTAAATAAATAAATGAATGACTGAACGTGTAAAATATGAAAGGTAGGTCTCGGGTTTCCGCGCTGGGGCGGGTCGTGCTGAGACGCTGGAGCGCGCGCCGTGTCTGGGTGTTTATATTTATGAATAACAGATAAAATAACACATTCAGACTCGGAGCGCGCGCAGCTCTGTTTCACAGTGACTCACAGCAGGAAGAAAGACTCGAGCTTCAGTCACAGCGAAGCCTTTGTTACCGTTACCTGGTGGGCGCGAGGGGGAAGCGACGTCACGCGCCTGTAGCCCGACACCCTCCGCGCGGCGCCACATCAGCTCGCGCCTCTCCGGCACAGAGGAGCCGGAATCGAGAGCAGAAGCCCGTCGACTCGCGGAGCTCGGACAGAGGACGGCGGACGGCGGACAGTAGGCCTCGCGCGGATCGGCAGCATGCTCCAGTCCCTCACCAGCAGCTCGTGCGTCCGTCTGATCCGGAGCAACAGATCGGCCTGGTACTTCTGCTTCCTGCTGCTGGGCTATGTGCTCTACCTGCTCTTCGGAGCGGTGGTCTTCTCCTCCGTGGAGCTGCCCTACGAGGACCTCCTGCGCCAGGAGCTGCGGAACATCAAGCGCCAGTTCCTCCAGGAGAACAAGTGTCTGTCCGAGGAGAAGCTCGAGCTCTTCCTGTCCAAAGCGCTCGACGCCAGCAACTACGGAGTGTCCATTCTCAACAACGCCTCGGCCAACTGGAACTGGGACTTCACCTCCTCGCTCTTCTTCGCCAGCACCGTGCTGTCCACCACAGGTGAGCACCAGCTGGACATCCCGTTTACAGACACCTTCACAGCCTAAACCAGCCCATCAGAGAGACTCACCTGTATTAAAACTACAGGAGGGATAATTAGAGTCTAAATCAGCCAATCAGAGAGACTCTCCTGTATTAAAACTACAGGAGGGATAATTAGAGAATAAATCAGCCAATCAGAGAGACTCACCTATATTAAAACTACAGGAGGGATAATTAGAGTCTAAATCAGCCAATCAGAGAGACTCACCTGTACTAAAACTACAGGTGGGATAATTAGAGTCTAAATCAGCCAATCAGAGAGACTCACCTGTACTAAAACTACAGGTGGGATAATTAGAGTCTAAATCAGCCAATCAGAGAGACTCACCTGTACTAAAACTACAGGTGGGATAATTAGAGTCTAAATCAGCCAATCAGAGAGACTCACCTGTACTAAAACTACAGGAGGGATAATTAGAGTCTAAATCAGCCAATCAGAGCGAGAGTCTGTGTTGGGTTATGAAGCTGGAGCTGAAAAAACTAAGAAGCCGAACTGGAACGATCAGTTTCCAGACAATAAAAACAAAACTGAAACCTAGAACCGAAACTGAACTGGAGTCAAAAAGCAGAATGGAAAGCTCAACATGACCGTAATAATCCTGCTCTGAACTGGGCCAAACTGGCTTTACAGACTGAGCAGCTTCTAGAACCTCCACACACACTGTCTGCTCTGTGCTGGTTCTGGATGCTGTGCTTGACCGTCAGGCTGAGCGTCAGTGGAACCCGTAGCTGCTCTTAGTTCCCGGTGTCACTGAACACCGCGCTGCGCCAGGCCTTCCGTTACCTGAGCGCCAAACCGGCTGCAGGGCTCACATGTTCTCACGTGAACTAGCAAATCCTGCGGTTCAGCGCTGAGCAGGTCGGATCACCGCAGGTACAGGAACAGCCGTGAAGAGCGGATTCACTGGATACACTGGATATCTTAGTGCGATCAGCGGCAGAATGGAGCTTTAGACGTGAAAGGGTTCTTCAGATTATGGAGAATGTGCTTTAGATGGTTCTATATAGAGCCTTTTGAAAAAGGTTCTATATAGCACTTATAAATATTTTCCTATTGTTACAAGCTTGACATCATAACAATAGAAGAACCCTTTTCAAAAGGGTTCTACATAGAACCATTTAAAGCACATTCTCCATCTGAAGGCCCGTTTCACGAAGCAAAGAGCTCTTTAATCATGCACAGGGTTCTTTAAGTGTTCATGGTTTTATATAGAACCATTTTCTTTACTAAAGAACTCTTGAAGAACCGTCTTTTTTTAAGGGTGTAGAGAAGACAAACTGTTCACAGTGGTGGTGATAGGAACCAGACGTCCACCTCTAAAAGCTCCCTCACAGAAAGTTCCTACATGAAATGGTTATGAATTCACTGCCTGATGACTGAGACACTGTTTTATGATAGTTTAGAGAACTTAAACTCCATTCATGGTGGAGGGATACATGCAGGGCGCTGTGAGGCAAAATAGTCCCCAAAGAAAACTTATTATTTCAGATTTTCACTATTTTCATCATCAACATTCCATATAGACTCAGAAGACTCGTGTAGGTTCACTGGTGGTTCTGGATAGTAAATAAAATGTCTATATTTGTGTTGTAGTCATGGCGACCCTTGGTTCCCATCACCACCACTGTAAAGACATCTGAACCATTTCACACCAAACCTCTCTGAATCACTCTGAAACACTTGATTATAGGGGATTTTTAAAAAATCAGTGGAATTCCCCTTCAGGTCCCCATGCTGTCTGGGGATGTTCAAACCTTTGCAAACCACTGTAAATAGAATGCTGAACACTCTAAGAACCATACGAATGCATAAAAAGGTTCTATATGATGGGATACCTGCTGTATACGGTTCCTTAAAGAACAATTTTTAAGTGTTAATGGAAAATTTAATTGAAAAATGGTTCTGTTTCGAGCCAATAAGGGTTCCACCCTTACTGTGGTACTATATAGATCCCTTTTTGCTAAGGGTGTAGAGAATTGTCTCCCTACTACTCGAACACTTGAGAAATTGTATTTGATTACAGTAATATTCAGTAAAATATGCTCTCACTTTCTCTAAAATAACATTCTCTGCATATTTTCAAACATGAAGTGTCCAGAAAATGTTGTGTGTGTTGTAAAAAGTTCCTCTAGTCACGTTTATTAAAATATATTTTATATAATTTTAATTAAGATGCACAGAGAATGAAACTCCTGAGTGTGTCCATGTGTTTGCTGCACTGCCTCTACTCAACAAGGGGAACAGTAGCAGAGAGGGAAGCAGGAGGTTCCTGTAGAGAACTGTTCTAATGTGAGTTCAGTCCTGTGGCTGTAATGCCGGTTTGGCCACTCCTGTTACTGAGTCCACTGTCAGGGATGGATGGTTTCCACACTGACCACAGGCATCTTGTGTTTCTGTCCATTCGGCACACGGAGTGTCTGCCAAGAGCGACATGTCCAGGGCCTCGTTCAGTGAACTTGTGACCCGTCCACGTTCTCTGTGTTTGAGTGGAACTGTCACTTTTCCTCTCAGTCTTCTTTGACTTTTGACTCCTCAGGATCATTCAGAGAGGTTTGGTGTGAAATGGTTCAGATGTCTTTACAGTGGTGGTGATAGGAACCAGGGGTCGCCATGACTACAACACAAATATAGCCATTTTATTTACTATCCAGAACCACCAGTGAACCTACACGAGTCTTCTGAGTCTATATAGAATGTTGATGATGGAAAATAGTGGAGAATCTGAAATAATAAGTTTTCTTTGGGGACTATTTTGCCTCACAGCACCTTGAATGCACCCCTCCGCCATCAAATACTTAATACAATAATTGTTTTAGAACAAAGCCTTCTCAAAACTACTGTAAAAACACTGTCTGGGGTAATAAAGTGTTTGTAACCAACTTAACAGTATAATATATAATAGTTTTCAATGATGAGGCTTTTAGAGGCTTTGAATTCTGTGGACGTCTGGTTCCTATCACCACCATTGTGAACAGTTCTGACTCTGAGTGACTCTGTGTACATCTTCACCACTTAATTATGCAGAACAATTTGACAGTTGGTGGAATTCGTCTTTAGGTCAACAGCAGAATCTTAGTGTCTATCTTGCTATTCTTATTCTTACTGTTCTCCGCTTTTATTTGGACCATAACTGGTCGCAGTTTTCAAGCTAGAACCATGAAATGTCTATATGGGGATGGTGCTTTTGTGACGGATCACACAGTCCCAAAATGTTTTTTGCATTATTTTTTTTCCAATAGCAAGATTCAAATCTAACGGCCACCAACAATGTCACAAAGGATGTCTCTCATACTGCCCCTCATAGTAGCAATATCCTAGCAACATCTTAGAAACCACCCGGAATTTCAGGGATAATGGGATAATGTAGCAATATCCAAGCAATACCTTAGCAACCACCTGGAATTTTGGGGATAATGGGATAATGTAGCAATGTCCAAGCAATACCTTAGCAACCACCTGGAATTTTGGGGATAATGGGATAATGTAGCAATGTCCAAGCAATACCTTAGCAACCACCTGGAATTTTGGGGATAATGGGATAATGTAGCAATGTCCAAGCAATACCTTAGCAACCACCTGGAATTTCGGGGATAATGGGATAATGTAGCAATGTCCAAGCAATACCTTAGCAACCACCTGGAATTTTGGGGATAATGGGGTAATGTAGCAATGTCCAAGCAATACCTTAGCAACCACCTGGAATTTCGGGGATAATGGGATAATGTAGCAATATCCAAGCAATACCTTAGCAACCACCTGGAATTTCAGGGATAATGGGATAATGTAGCAATATCCTAGCAACATCTTAGAAACCACCCGGAATTTCAGGGATAATGGGATAATGTAGCAATATCCAAGCAATACCTTAGCAACCACCTGGAATTTCGGGGATAATGGGATAATGTAGCAATGTCCAAGCAACACCTTAGCAACCACCTGGAATTTTGGGGATAATGGGATAATGTAGCAATGTCCAAGCAATACCTTAGCAACCACCTGGAATTTCGGGGATAATGGGATAATGTAGCAATATCCAAGCAATACCTTAGCAACCACCTGGAATTTTGGGGATAATGGGGTAATGTAGCAATGTCCAAGCAATACCTTAGCAACCACCTGGAATTTCAGGGATAAAGGGATACCGTAGCAGCTTTGTCATGCCCACAGACCTTCCCATTTTAGCCCCTAGTGTGATCTGACATTACTCAGCATTAATATGTCATTACAGAGAACTGATCAGCAGAAATGTCCCACAGTGTTCATTAAACTGAGGAAACCGGAATGTTATTGACGCGTGAGCTCTAAACTACTGCCTCTGTTTTTACAGGCTATGGTCACACTGCCCCTCTCTCCGACGGCGGGAAGGCCTTCTGTATCATCTACTCGGTGATCGGCATCCCCTTCACCCTCCTCTTCCTCACGGCCGTGGTGCAAAGGATCATGGTCTTCAGCACACGGAGGCCCATCATGTACGTGCACACTCGCTGGGGTCTGTCCAAGCCCCTCGTGGCTCTGGTGCACGCCAACCTGCTGGCCATCGTCGCCGTGTCCTGCTTCTTCCTCATCCCTGCCGCCATCTTCTCAGCTCTGGAGGAGGACTGGAACTTCCTGGAGTCCTTCTACTTCTGCTTCATCTCGCTCTCCACCATCGGCCTGGGAGACTACGTGCCGGGAGAGGCGTTCAACCAGCGATTCCGGGAGCTCTACAAGCTGGGCATCACTGGTGGGTGTGCCTCAGACGCTGAATCTGCACAGAAATAGGTTTGGTGGGCCTCAGACTGAGGCAGGGCTTTTGGCCTGAGCCTCAGAGAACAGATTTGTGCAGGCTGGGGGGTCTTGAATATTCATTATGACGGCCTTCTGTGCTTGGCAGGCTCAGACGCTGAATGATCAGGCGTGCGAGTGCTTGGCTGTTTTAGCGTGTAGATGAGTCTGAAATGGCCACAGATTGGATTGTGTCATTTTAGAGAACTGAAAACTAGGAACGAACGTGAAGGAGGAACTTTGTGTTCAAGGCTTCCATTCATTCATTGTTTCAGCCTGTGTGCTTTATTCTACGCTGCCAGAGCTTCCAGATACTGCTTATTCTTAGACAGATGATTCTGCTGATCTGGGTCAGAGTCAGAGCTGAAACACATTCAGGACCTTTAACTGATTTTGGACTTTAGACTAAACTCTTTTGCTCTGAGTGACTCTAAACCTTAATTATGATCATTTTATTAAAATTAATGACTGAACATTCCAGATCAACCATAACTCTACCAAACTGTACCAGGTGTTTCAGTAGCGACTGTTTCAGTAGTGGCTGTTTCAGTAGTGACTGTTTCAGTAGTGACTGTTTGAGTAGTGACTGTTTGAGTAGTGACTGTTTCAGTAGTGTCTGTGTCAATAGTGACTGTTTCAGTAGTGTCTGTTTCAATAGTGACTGTTTCAGTAGTGTCTGTTTCAGTAGTGTCTGTTTCAGTAGTGTCTGTCTCAGTAGTGTCTGTTTCAGTAGTGACTGTCTCAGTAGTGTCTGTTTCAGTAGTGACTGTCTCAGTAGTGTCTGTTTCAGTAGCGTCTGTTTCAGTAGCGTCTGTTTCAGTAGTGACTGTTTCAGTAGTGTCTGTTTCAGCAGTGACTCTTTCAGTAGTGACTGTTTCAGTAGTGACTGCTTCAGTAGTGACTGTTTCGGTAACAATTTTAGCTCATTTTGAGCTCAGAAACTCAGCAGTTCATGACCAGCAAACACAGCTCTGAACAGCTGTTCACACAGAAAATCATCATATTTTACATTAAAACACTAAAAAGTGCTGAACTGCAGAAAATATGACGATAATATAAACAGCTTTTAATTGGTGCCTAAAACTTGTGCGCAGTAAACATGTCGCTGCTGTCAGAACAAAACTTTACAGGAGAAGGAAAAAACCCACTGCACTTTTCATGTAAGTCAATGGAACCAGAGGTTTTCTCAAGTCATTTTGGGCCGTTTCTGTTGGTCCATTCATCATGAAATGTACACACAACATAAAGAACAACAGGCTTTTTCATTATGTCAAAAATTGAAAAATGACAAAAATGGACATACGAGGTTTTGTTCTGATAGCAGTGATATGTAGCCCATCAGGACAGAACTACAAACATGAATGAAAGGCCGCTGTGCAGGCTGGGAGGTTTTTTCAGTGACAGAAATCACCAAAGTGTATAAAGACCAACACGTCCTGCTGTTTAAAGAGCTCTGCATGTCTCTGTGTGATCTATATGCAGTGGGTATTTGTCCTTAATACAATATAGCGATAATGTGTACTGATATCGGTACATGCCTGGTGCTGTCATGGTTCCTTAGTGTTCAGATGACCTCAGAGGAAACTTTCAGAGGGTTTCAGACTTTAACTGACTGCGTCCACAAGATTATCAATAACAGTGAAGTGATTATAAACCCTGACCTTAGTGCCACTGCGTGACTGGGAGAGAGCCTGTTTATCACAGGCCAGAAACCAGCGCTCTGATAACACTAGGGGTAGCTAGTCAGAGTAAAGTCATCATTTCATGGTCAAATGCTGGAGTCTGAACTGATACGCGCTCAAACAGTCCATCCCACATCGTGGAGTTGATAGCGGTGCCCCCGTAACAAGCTTTGACCAAAAAAACGTTCTGCTCCGTAACTCAGTGTGTGAGCTGTAATCAGAGAGATTCAGAGGGGTTTGGTGTGAAATGGTTCAGATGTCTTTACAGTGGTGGTGATAGGAACGAGGGGTCGCCATGACTACAACACAAATATAGACATTTTGGAAATACAGACATGCTGGACAGGGTGTAGATGGTAGATATTGGGCTCATTCGAGCCTGAAACTCCTTTCTTTCTGTGCTTGTTGCAAGCAGACACTCAGTACGGATGTCTGGCTTGTTGTCATAGAAACAGACAGAAAGCGTAGTGCTGGCTTGGCCTTTGTGGCCTAGAGGATCTAGTGGAGCATAGTGGGATGCCACACAAACATCTCCCACCTTCCTTAGCGCTGCTCTCCTGCTCCCCCTGTTGGTCAGAAAGGACGAATAGCACGACAGCAGGCTGGCAAAATTAGGAGCTGCGTCCATGTTCATGTGTATGCAGTCCTAATGTGGGGACAGTGAGGAAGAAAGCCTACATTCGGTTAAGGGTAGGTAATGACTGATAGCCAGTGCACTTTTCCTACACAGTGAGTCAGTTACTTAAAGGGAAACTCCACCAGTCTTTTAAAATGCCTGAAAAAATAAAGCATTGCAAACAGAGTGGTTTGGTGTGAGACACTCCGTTCTAGAGAGACTCCAAAATTTGACAATTTTAAATGTACATTTTAACTTAACAGTCGACTGTAGTTGAAGGGGTATTCCACCAATTTTTTTAAAGTTCTGTATAATTTAGTGGTTGAGATGTAAACACAGTGGTTCTCTGTTCTAGAGAAACAGTGAGTCAGAGTGAGTCAGAACTGTTCACAGTGGTGGTGATAGGAACCAGACGTCCACCTCTAAAAGCTCCCTCACAGAAAGTTCCTACAGTAAATGGTTATGAATTCACTGCCTGATGACTGAGACACTGTTTTATGATAGTTTAGAGAACTTAAACTCCATTCATGGTGGAGGGATACATGCAGGGCGCTGTGAGGCAAAATAGTCCCCAAAGAAAACTTATTATTTCAGATTTTCTGAATCTCACACGTCTCACACATGCGGACATTTTTAAAAAGATTATGTTTTCAGATGTGTGGACCGTGTCGCTAACCGATAAAATAAATAATTGATGATGATGGTATTTAAAATTTTTACAGTGTCAAACTGATATTCCACGTTTATCACAATAAACATCTGTCAGTCAACCGTCCTAGCAGCAGGTAGCAGTAGCTTAGCCTGCTACAGCTTCACACACTATTCATGTTGGCATCAGACGCTTATGCTAGCTTAGCGAGCGGGCCAAAAAAACAGCTTCACTCCCAGCTTCACTCCCAGCTTCACTCCCAGCTCGCTGATCTTCACTGACAGAGGAAAATGACTCAAATCTGAGTCGTTCAGGTTTTGTGTGTTGAGCCGTTAGCTAGGCAGGTTATGTTACACTGTGCTGTCATTGGTAGCATCAGACGCTAGCTTAGCTTAGCTAGCAGACTAAAACAGCTTAATGTACCACAGCACAGGTTGGACATCCACAAGTTCAGAGGATAAAGATTCAAATCAGGGGCAGTGAAGTTGGCTGGTGTTGGAGAGACTCAGGGACAGAATTTGACCTGTAAATTTGACCATAAACACCACTAATTTGGTTTCCCAAGCTCTGTCCAGCATTTAACAGTAGAGGTTCAGCTTATGGTTTAGTCCTTAAAGGTGATGATCTGAAGATTTTGCTACTTTATTTTCTAATTATTACATTAGGAGCTTGTTTGTTTTGTATTCTTTTGCATACTTGTGCATATTCATAGACAGAAGTGGGCAACATGGCAAAAACGTAATATTAATGCTTTAGTAAGTTTTCCCCATCCACGATGTCACAATATTTATTTCTTCTAAAATCTAATAAGTTGAAACAGACAAAGGAGAGCAACATTTAAAAAACACTATCAAAAACTATGAGTATCATTATTTTTACTGAGCGTTTAACATCCTGTGCTGCACTACCCAGACAGCGGGCATATATTGGTCCGCTGGCTTGATAAGGTCGGCACCCTGCCGACTGTTTGCCACTGCTGGACCACCCTCGGACCACCCAGGTTACTATCCTGCATACAAGCTCTAACTAGTTTTTAGTCTCCTCAAACTGATTTTAAATGCACAGAGACTTTTATTTTAGAAAATAAACTAAGACAAACATTACAAACAACTGTGTAACAACTATGTAACCATGAATCATGACCAGGCCTGATATAAAATGGTTTTATAGAGGATGTTGTTGCTGACGCTGAGCTGGATTAACATTGTTGTCTAAACTAATTCACAAAGTGTCGCTAAAGAAAGGAAGGAAGGAAAAATCAGTAAACTGGACTGTGGGTGGAAAATGAGCAATGATGAGTGGAATTTGGTCTAATAATCAGCTTAAACACCGGCGGGCCGCCCAGAAAGCGCTGAGCAAAACACAAGTGGACCGCCAGCTTTGCCATCAGTGGGCCGACAGTGGACCACTCTCCTCTTACTACGAGGGTAAATCCAGTTAACAGGACTGATTATGCTCTCTGTATTCAAACATGCACTTGGGAAGTGATTAAATACTAATGATATTTACAGAATTCTCAGAAAAGCATAAGATATTGAATCACAGTGACGATACATATTGTAACGCCCAGCTCTGTCCATCTTCATGTTCTTAATCTGATGAGGTTTAGGTTCCACTTTAGTAGTTTCCAGGGCAACTATAACAGGAACACATAAAGCTATTTGGCAATTTGTTATTCAACATTTTAATATTTATGGTTCAAATGATGATTTCAGGAGTACTAAGAAGGTCCACTGTGTTACTGACCCACAGTGCTTGTCACTGCACTGACCCCTCTCCTCTCACTGTCTCCTGCCTCTCCAGTCTATCTCCTGCTGGGCCTCATTGCCATGCTGGTGGTGCTGGAGACCTTCTGCGAGCTGCAGCAGCTGAAACAGCTGAGGAAGATGTTCTACCTGAAGAAGGAGAAGCCTCAAGACCAGCTGGCCATCATGGAGCACGACCATCTGGCCTTCTCCTCGGTGGACAACGCCACGTCACCCCCGGAGGAGAAGACCGAGCCCTTCGTAGACGTCCCCGTCCTCACCTCTCCTGGTGGAGATGACCCTATGATTAGATAAGCAGTTCAGTCCGTCATCAACGTGTCCGTCACGGCACAGTGGCACGAGGGTTCTTCAACGTGTAGCTCTTCAGTTTGCAGTATGCTGGCTAGTAGCTCATCACAACATCGTGATAGATATTAGCGTTCAGTACGTTCAACATTCCGCAGTGTTCTTCACCTCAAACCTGCACTTTAAAAACAAAGCACAATTAACATTCAGCATAACCTGAAACAGGTCCAGTCATGTGCATTGGGTAGTTTACTAAGTCAGCAACAAGTGCTTGAAGGACGTTTTGGTGTTTTACAAGCCCAGACCTCAGACTTTAAGCTTAATCTTGGGGGTCCTTTAGGCCCTATGAAGGGTTTAGACCTTAGTTAAACCCTTAACTACCCCAGTATGGAAAGTCCTTGTTTAAAGTAGACGATGCTAAACAAAGCTGTTGTTAGGACAGGTTAGTTTACGCCTGATTCACACCTGCTACCTCTGCGTGGTGTGAGCGATCCGGCAGTGTGAGCGATCCGGCTGTGTAATCGATCCGACAGTGTGAGCGATCCGGCAGTGTGAGCGATCCGGCTGTGTGAGTGATCCGGCAGTGTGAGCGATCCGACAGTGTGAGCGATCCGGCTGTGTGAGCGATCCGGCTGTGTGAGCGATCCGGCTGTGTGAGCGATCCGACAGTGTGAGCGATCCGGCTGTGTGAGCGATCCGGCTGTGTAATCGATCCGACAGTGTGAGCGATCCGGCTGTGTGAGCGCTGCAGCTCCAACGCTGCCTTTCATACACGCAGCGTTTGGGCTGCGGAGCGGAGCAGCGAGGAAGTTACACCGACATTCCTTTTTCCAGATGGACGCACAGTCCAGTCAGCTTTGCTCAATGAAGGTATGGTTTATGAAAGAGCGGTACACCTGCGTACCCTCGACAGCATTCCGACTGTGATTGG